ACCAGAGAACGTCGAATAAAACACTATGTGCAAAAAAAGGTACAAAGAATGAAAATAAGTCTGCTGTAAACAAAGCACTCACACGTTCCAAAATAACTCTCTCTCTCTCGCTGTCTTTGTCTCTTTCCCTGGTATGCGTGCCACTAGCCTGTATTTATAGTCTATCCCATAGAAGGTTCGAGGTCAGAATACGCATCGTAATAGTCGCTCAAACGTTCCACGGTGCTCTACCGCATTCGAGTAGAGAAACAGACGATAGATTGGTTTGTGGTAAACGAGATCAAAAGAAGTAGTGCACGCCCAGTAGTAACGAAGGCGAATTGGGGTCAGCTTAAGTTCGTTCACCAGGAAAAGATTTAATGAGAGTAAAATTAGAAGCATAGGTATATAAAAATATACATATTAATAACTGTATCTAATGATCTCTAAATCTTGTAGATCATCAGTGACATGGGTTCGGGTCACCGGAGATCTTTGTGGTCAGATCGAGAGAAATTTAAAAAAAAAAAAAAATGAACTAGGGCTAAGCTAAAAATCTCATTACAATTCTAATTTTTTTTTAAATTCAGTATCTGTTCTGAATGTGTCCCTGATATTAAATAAATTAATTGACACACAATTCTTGTAGTTGTAAATATATATATTTGCATATTTTAAGAACAATATTTTTGAGGAAAGGGAATTTCTGACGTAACAGCTTAGACTTGATTCCAAAAGCGTATCGCATTCTGTAAGGTCGCACCAAAGGCTGTAGCTCTGTTATGTCAATGAAACTATTTGTGTGGAATCTTTCGAGAGAGCCTTTTCTTCTTCCGAGTCAATAGGTCATGTGAGACCCAGCTTCTCGAATTTGTAGAAGACTTGATGACCAANAATGGGGCACCGTTCATGCTGCGAAAACGACGTGTCTTATCGCCGTCCGCTCACGCGCTCCGGAGCCAGCACAAGTTGGGATCCCCCCCCCTCCTTTTCATAATACAAATCTCGGTTTCTTTCCAAAAAAAAAAAACCTCGAGTCAACTCTGTGCTAGTTCCGACTGCATGTCGGGGCCGGTGGTACGTCACAGTAGCGAGAACGCCTGCGTCAATGGCATGGGCGGCTGCCACTAAGACGCATTAGAGGGGCATTGGGCCACGGGGGGGGGTGGTGCGTAGGAAGTGGTGGGGTTAGAGGAGGGAGGTCAGCCGCGTGCGGCACATATGTTTTGGGGGTTCTCTTCATATACGTTGTATTGGCTAATCTGTATACGTGCTCTATACATTTTTTTTGTAGACCTCAGCTTTTTCTAGCGTTCTTTTGTCATAATTGTCTTTAGCATTGAATGGTCTTATATCAAAGTTAGATTTGATTTAATCCTAGCAAAACAATGATATCTTTTCGAATCTCAAACGCCAATTACTGGAAGTACTTTCTAAATATATGATATGAAAGTTACAATTGATTTATAAAAGTAATCTAAATTGGCTTGGGGGAACGTACCCCTGATCCAACATGGAATGGATTGGGGGGGGGGAGGGGTGGGCGGGATTTGGGGGGGGGTGGTTTGAGCATCACACTTACAACCCGACATCTATGTCATTCGATAAGATCCGTGTTTATTTCAGCCGTCACCTCTGACCCCTGCGTACGTAATGCTACCCCGTCATCATCACGTTCGTCTTTCATCTCTCGACGTCAAGGCTAAACATGTAGGTCAACGTCAAACCTTTGGTCTCTGCGTGTGAGAGGTCGGAGTCGTGAGAATGCAACATACTCCGGCTTAGAAGTCGTTGCAAATGTCCCCGGATGATGGGCACATGCGAAGCAATCCATTGATGCATCAGCATCTTTCCATGAAATAGCTGAAAGAAAAACGCCCGTGCTTCGTGTTTGAGAGTCATGTAGTACAATCAGTGAACATAAATGCACGATTCCCCATAAATACCCTTTTTCCATAAAATACCCGATTCTCCATAAAATATCCGATCCTCCATTTAGTGTATGATGACATCATGCAAACTCGATTATGTGAATAATGTGATAACAGGATTATATTTCAGAATAGGAAAGTAGGTCAGTTTTATAGTAAACTAGCGAGAGCCCGGCATGCGTTGCAATACCACTCAAACAAAGATATTTTACGCGGTTTAATTACTTTTTTTTTTTTGTAAGTACTTTTTATAAAGATTAAATTCTTTGTTTTCCCGTCTGGTGCGCACACCAATAAATTAGGTTTTTTGACACTTGAGCAGGCCATATAGAACTGTCCATGAGAGAAGCATGTATTTTCAAAATTTATTCGACACACGGGTAGCGATTGGTCCACCCATGCAAAAGCTCTGATTGAAATTATATTTACATAACTCTTATAAGAAAGAAAAAAGAATTGAGGGCCCCCGGTCCCAAACGGAATATTGTAAAATGGTTGCACTAATTCAGAAACCTACTTATTATGTCACACACAAACTGAAATTTCGCTATTTGTATTTGATTAAAATTCCATCCACCCATGCATTAGCCCTGTTTGAAATTATATGTATAAAGATCATATCAGAAAAAAAAATTACGAATTTAGCGCTCCTAGCCGAAAACGGAAACGTTTAAAATGTTTGTAACACTTCAGAAAAATTCGCGGGCAACTCACCAAAGTTTGATCACAATGGGATAAATTTCTTACGAGTGCATACGGGACATACATAGATTGGGACATTCATTTATATTTATTTATTTATTTATTTATTTAGGCATTTTTATATAGCGCTTACATTAAAGCTCTTAGCGCTTTACAATTATTAAAAACATGTACACTAAGTATAGATATATATTAGAGAGAGAGAGAGAGAGAGAGAGAGAGAGAGAGAGAGAGAGAGAGAGGGAGAGAGATGATTTAATGATATACAAATCTGGCGCATTTCGTCATTTCCGCTTTGAAGATCAGTGTCATTCTAAACATTGTTGGATTGGACACTATCTTAAAATACTACACATATTCTCATTATTTGAAAGGAAGAAAAAAAAAAAAGGAACGAACGCCTCCATTTTGTTTGGTCTAAATTGCGTTCAAGGGCCGCGTACTACTTAGCAAGGTGTTACGAGGAAGTAGTTGGCGAATCATCATCCCGAACTCCTCTTGCCACGCCCTTAGTGCGATTTGCAGATCTTTCCCGTTTTTTTTTGTTTTTTTTTGTTGTTTTTTTTTTTAAATATAAATCTCTAACAACAAGTCTTCACCATTCATCTCTCCCCGCCCTAACAGCTTAACTTTGTTTACAACAAAAACACTTTCGGTTTTCCCTTAATCCCATACAAGACCGACCAGGATTGGCTGATACAACCTGTCCGTATATCGTAGAGTTCCACACCCCTTCTCATTACACTCAATGGAACCGTTGTCCCTCGAGTCTGTTGTGAGGGGGGACGGCGGGCGCGTGACAATTACTTTAACGTGATTGGGGGGGGGGGCTAGTTTGGAATATGTCTATTTTAAAATGGAGTCGCTTAACATTGCCAAACCTTACTTATTATTGCACAGAAAAAAAATACTAACAGCAGTGTTATTACATTACAATATACATTACCACACCCTAGTTATCATTTACAGAAAAAAATTACTACACTATGGCTACACATTACAGAAAAAATTACTACACTATGGCTACACATTACAGAAAAAATTACTACACTATGGCTACACATTACAGAAAAAATTACTACACTATGGCTAGACATTATAGAAAAAATTACTACACTATGGCTAGACATTACAGAAAAAATTACTACACTATGGCTACACATTACAGAAAAAATTACTACACTATGGCTAGACATCATAGAAACAATTACTACACTATGGCTAGACATTACAGAAAAAAATTACTACACTATGGCTAGACATTACAGAAAAAATTACTACACTACGGCTAGACATTACAGAAAAAAGTACTACGCTATGGCTACACATTACAGAAAAAATTACTAAACTATGGCTAGACATTACAGAAAAAATTACTACACTATGGCTAGACATTACAGAAAAAAATACTACACTATGGCTAGACATTATAGAAAAAATTACTACACTATGGCTAGACATTACAGAAAAAATTACTACACTATGGCTAGACATCATAGAAAAAATTACTACACTATGGCTAGACATTACAGAAAAAAATACTACACTATGGCTACACATTACAGAAAACATTACTACACCATGGCTAGACATCATAGAAAAAAATACTAAACTATGGCTAGACATTACAGAAAAAAATTACTACACTATGGCTAGACATTACAGAAAAAATTACTACACTACGGCTAGACATTACAGAAAAAAGTACTACGCCCTAGTTATAATTTGCATTAAAAAATTACATTGGTTTTTATTGTACAAAGAAAAAAGAACTTCATAGCTTTAGATTACATAAAAAATTATCACATTATAGCTATAAATTACAGAAAATAATACCACTCTAAAAATATAAACTACATAAAACATTACCACACTAACGCTATATATTACAGAAAACATTACCACCCTATACAGAAAAAAATTACTAATGTATAGCTATAACTTACAGCCATTTTATTGAACTGAAATAAAAATGTACTGCAAATAATATGTTCCAGTCTATGATAACGATTCGGTATATAAATATAATATTAATTATTTTTTTCATTAGAATGTAAACTATGTTTAAGGTTAACTAACATCCCTTTTTAAATACATCCTAGAAGTAATAAATTTATCATCTTTCAACAACTCATCTTAACGTAAAGAATAATCATCATAAAATTCGTGATTTTTGTTTCATTTTCTTTTAAGCAAACCAGTTTCTTCTTATTATTCCCCCCCCCCCTCTTCCGATTGGAGGAAGAACTTTAGAATGATGTTTCACGTGATCCTGGATTTAAAAAAAAATTATAATAATAATTTGTATAAAAGAAAATGTTTGAGAATCCCTGATCCTGCTAGCGCGTTATCTCGGCACGGGGCGGCCTCGGTTCGGCGTCTTCAGTCAGTTGTGGCATGAAATCTGGCGAGTCGAGGTGAGCATGTTACAACGGTAATGGCTTTCATCTTTCTTGAGGCTTAATTGAGTTTCACGGTAGTGCTCCACTCGATGTTGCCATATTCTCCACTCATCTTTGTGTAACAAGTGGTGGGACTCCTCAGCGATGTGTTGTTTTCACGCGAACGCTAGTCGAAATCACAAGCCAAACCGTACGTTATAGAAAGTGTGTCCTAAACCAATGCAGTTTTTTTGGTTTTATATTTAATAATTTTTTATAAAACTATAGTGTAATATTTTCATTTAAAAGTTATTGAGTTGAAATAGGTATAATTTGTAAATTTTAAAAAAAAAAAAAAAAAAAACTTATAATGCGTGACCAGTAATTTTTTGGTTTTATATTTAATAATTTTTTTTAAAACTATAGTGTAATATTTTCATTTAAAAGTTATTGAGTTGAAATAGGTATAATTTGTAAATTTTAAAAAAAAAAAAAAAAAAAACTTATAATGCGTGACCAGTATGTGTTCGTCCTTTGCCCGCGAAGATGAACAAGCCAATATTCTATTGACGTGTATTTGTTTAAAGTAATGGAGACTCACTCTCTCGTCCATGCCTAATTGATCCATGTATATGCTTGGTAACTACGGCGTGAAACGGAAAAGGATGTGTAGATGACCAGCAGCGTGTGTGTCTGTATTTCATTGTGCTCTTCATGCGCTCCACGTCATGGTAGTTGTCGGAATTCTCATTGGCGTCAATGCCATCATTGCCATACGGGACTCCCATCTCTTGGCTTGATTTCAAATTTTCGAATTCTCATAGATGAGTCGCCATCCCGGTTTCATCCACTATCTTCCCGGCGTTCAGATGATGTTACTTGTCTCGGGATTGAACTCCAGTCCACTACGTTGGGATTGACTCGGCTTAGATCACTCGGCCACCCAACTATTATGTGTTAGGAGCAAAGAGACCAGAACTCCCACACCTTTACATACTGCGTTGTAGTGATACTCACGTGCAGCTCTTCCTTACCCATGATTCCCCCCTTCCTACTTCACTGATGTCTGTGTATGACAGGTTTTATTCACAAGATACGAATCAGTTTGGGGAATGTCTAAGGCAGCAATTTAAAGAAAAAAGCACATTAAAAAAAAACAACACTGCTCCTTCTGTAAAATATGAATGACGTAAAAAGGATTCGCTCGGCATATTGATTTAAATTCAGCACACGTGTATTTTCACCGTATGACACATGCATATAGGGCCACAGGTTATTTTTAAAAACGCAAGTTATTTCGTTTTTGGGTTAGTTTAAATTTGATTTATTGCCTAGTAATAAATTATTTCCTGCTTTGGTTATTTAAACAGTAAGTGTTTCTTTCATTTCAGCTCATTGTATGCTATAATCCTCTCATGCAATACATTTCTACTTCAGGCCTCCCGTTAAGGACTAATTCACATGACCTACGTAATTCAGACTTTATAGTGTTGTACCATAGTGTTTAACCATACCGAATATATACAGAGGCGTAGCTACTGTGTTTTGACCAAGGTTTATTTTTACACCCCCCACTCCCTTTTCAACTCATTATTTCTCCATAAAATGCCAAAAATATATATTTTGGCACCTCATTAGTTTGATGCCATGGAAACATCTGTACCTCCTACCCCCAACCATTTTTTTTTCATCTGCGCCTATGTATATATATTTTTTAAAAAATATGGGTCTAAAAATATCTATGAACGTAAACATTCTAATTATATTTGATCTCAATTACTGATCCTAAAATTTAGTTTATTTCTATTGTCTCAGATAATTCATTATTAATTCTAATTAACTTTTTTCAGTAAACGCCCTTAGGTCAAAGAGATATTTTTGTATTTTTTCTGTGCTCTACGAATTTAAGAAAAGAAAAAAAAAGAGATAGTCGGCATCTGAACATTTTTTTTCTTTAAGAAAAAACATAAATAAATTACAGTATGTTTTACTTGAAAAGACAAACCTTCCCTGTTTCCTTGGAATAAGTTAGTTCATTTATTGGCTCATTCTCCCAACAAAGCATTCGAAGTTCGAGGCAAAGTTAATTTCCAAAGCATGTTGTAAAAGCGTTGTGTCAATAGAATAAGTCTTTTCTTATTATATTTTTAAGTCGATTCAAAGGGAATCTCGTGTTATTTGTGGCACCTGTGGCTCCCTTACATTTCCTTCCGTGCGTTTCTATTTTTTCTCTCGAATATATCGTTAATCTAAGATTTAGCTGATAGCCATGTTTTTGTTCTTTTGAATTCGTTGTGAAAAAGAGGGTCCCTTGTCTGTATTTTTAGTTCTTCCCAGCTCTTTCCTGTAATTTAAGCTCCATCCAGCACACTGCGACTTAATGTTCTCCCAGCTCATCCAGCACACTGCGACTTAATGTTCTCTCAGCTCATCCAGCACACTGCGACTTAATGTTCTCTCAAGTTATCCAGCACACTGCGACTTAATGTTCTCTCAAGTTATCCAGCACACTGCGACTTAATGTTCTCTCAAGTTATCCAGCACACTGCGACTTAATGTTCTCTCAAGTTATCCAGCACACTGCGACTAAATGTTCTCTAAAGTTATCCAGCACACTGCGACTTAATGTTCTCTCGTATATCCAGCACACTGCGACTTAATGTTCTCTCAAGTTATCCAGCACACTGCGACTTAATGTTCTCTCAAGTTATCCAGCACACTGCGACTTAATGTTCTCTCAAGTTATCCAGCACACTGCGACTAAATGTTCTCTCAAGTTATCCAGCACACTGCTCTGGCACCCGCTAAGAGCCGTTAGGATAGCCGCATCGTCTCCCAAGCCGTTGCACATATGCCAGATCATGGATGCAGCAACGTACCCTATCAGAATCAGAATCAAAATCGGAGTAGATACTTCTAGACCAATTGAAAAGAATGTAATCGACTTTTTTTCTTCTTGTTTTGTTATTTATTTCAGTTCCGTTCAACTTGAACCAGCCAATCAAAATGCTGGGCTTACAATTCGGTGTCATAGTAGTTTGTATAGCTGCCATTTCTACAAATAACGACCATTCAGAGAAGCCATCGTCGTCTAGTGAGTTGTGTGACAAATAGTTTTTATTTTTTTTTTAATTTAAAAATCCATAACAGCTTATCTCTACTTCAGTGAGTAGACATTGCATTATGAAACGAGTTTTATTCGTTATAATTTTGTGTTTAGATATCACGAACGCTCTCTTAAAATCTTCATTTTAAATACGATATAGAAATATTGTGTGATGTGTAAATTGCCAAGAAAGTAGCTTTAACGGGTTCTCCCTTAACGAAAAAAAAAAAAAAAAACGATTGTTGAAAAAAAAAAAAAAAGGATTTATTTGGAAGTTGAAGTGTGTTGTATCTGAACATGGCTAAAAATACAAATCAACTAATTTGCTTTCTTCCCCCCTAATTTTCACCAGTTATCGTAATTTTGCTCAAATGAGGTGTGTGTATTGTTAGACAATAGTGTTCGCAGCAAAATTAATGTTAGTATCGTTCCATTTCCAGACTGCACTACTCACATGACCCAGTGCAGCAAGAATTACTACAGCCAGGCAATGAGCAGTTCAATAACTTGTGGGTAAGAAGAAGACACCGAACGTCTACCAGACTTTGGCTTTCCACCCCTCTATTAGAATTTTACTCAGAACCCAAAACTACCAATCTGCAATACAATAAACAGAGATAGTTTTTTTTTGTTTTTTTTTGTAAATTAGGTACATCGTGAAAATTTCCATTTTGGTTTGTACATATCTGAAAATGTTAAAGAGTCTAATATTACAACTGGGTGGCCGAGCAGTCTATACTGCTCAACCAAGAAACTGGCGGTCTGGAGTTTAATCCTCACCAACGCCAACATCTCCAGCATCCCGGGTGGATGGGGCTCGTTCGCCTTGAACGGCAAATCATTTAAGGGAAGCCAAACTCTTGAATTCAAACCAGGTGCGAGTATGATCGATAAATTAATCGTGGGCCCTAAAATATAGGTGGAAAAAAATAAATATAACATTGGTAAGACGGCATTCTATCTAACTCAATTGGAAGTCATTGAACAGCAATGGTATTTTAGCCTTTTGGATAATACAATTAATATGTTTTTTAGGAAATTATTTGGTTTTCCTAATAATGTGGGTCTCCCGCATAACAAAACCAGAGCGTTCTGGGTCGCGTTATCAAGTTTTAATTCGTTCCCTAGCAAAAAAAAAAAAAAATGTTTTTAAAAGGCAAAAACTGTTGTTTTTTTTAATTTGTTAAAACAAAGAAATGATGAGTTGGAGGGCATGCAAACACATAACCACACAATCAAAACACACAAACACATCACACAAAAAGAATGCCACTGACTCCTACCCCCACCCCCTCCCTTTTCAGAAGCGCTCAGGGTGAGACGTGCACTCCATTTGTACAAGCGCACGTTTATTAAAAAAAATTTTGCGCCGTTCGTTATACGAGCCCTTGCTCACTATGCGAGTTCTTTGTTTTTTTCAATTTGTTTTTAACGTCCACGTTCTTTATGAGGATTGAGGGGCGTTCATGCTTTGGGGCGCCCGTGATTTGGGGCGTTCTTTGTGAGGGGCGTTCTGTATGAGGCGCGTTCATGGTATGGGAGATCAACTTAACTTTATATGAGATAACAGCATTCCAGTTTATCCTGCAAATTAATATGTTGTGGACACAAAGGATGACTAAACCACTTTTGTTAAAAATTTGTCCTGCAGATCAATTGAAACAGTTGTAGGATGCATCTTTCACTCGGGATGTAACGTCACTGCAAGCCATCGCGAGGTATGGGCCAGTTTGCTGCAGAGGGCAATGGACTATTATGGCTCATCGTGCCGTGGGTATCTTTTCAATTTTTTTTTTGTTTTTAAATTTTGATTATAAAGTGTTTTGTCCAATTGAAAGAGAAACAATGGAAGAAGTACAATTTTATTGTAAATGATTGTCACACAACAAATGCGCGCGGGGGGGGGGGGGGGAAAAAAAGGGCTGCCCACACCGTTTTGTGGCTCCTTTTGCAATAGATTGGGAGTATTGCTTTTTTTTGTTGTTTTTTAAAAAGATCTTTTTAAAATAATACAGGGGGGGGGGGGGTGGTGGGTGAAAAAAAAGGGCTGCCCACACTGTTTTGTGGCTCCTTTTGCAATAGATTGGGAGTATTGCTATTTGTTGTTGTTTTTTAAAAAGATCTTTTTAAAATAATGTACTACTTAAATATCGTTATGTGACGTCCTGTTGTTTGTCGAAAACCCTGAAGAATGTAAATTAGTTAAACAAAGGTATCAATAACTTTTGAACAGAACAGTGACCGCTGGCAGGTTGAGCTTGTGCCGCATTTAATACACGGAGGTAAAATCAAATGGGAAGCCTTAAACATTGGGCAGCATGTATCTGGGGCAGCGTGGACGTTGGGCATCGTGGAGGTTGGGCAGCTTGGAAGTTGGGCAGCGTAGAGGTTGGGCAGCGTGGACGTTGGGCAGCGTGGAGGTTGGGCAGCGTGGAGGTTGGGCAGCTTGGAAGTTTGGCAGCGTGGAGGTTGAGCGTAAAAGAGAGGGCGTGGAGGTCAGACATAGAGATCTGGCGTGGAGGTTGGTTAGCATGGGTTTTGGGAAACGTGCAGGTTGGGCAGCGTGCAAGTTGGGCAGTGTGGAGGTTGGGCAGTGTGCTGGTTGGGCAGTGTGCAGGTTGGGCAGCATGGAGGTTGGGCAGTGTGCAGGTTGGGCAGCGTGGAGGTTGGGCAGTGTGCAGGTTGGGCAGTGTGCAGGTTGGGCAGTGTAGAGGTTGGGCCGTATGCAGGTTGGGCAGTGTGCAGGTTGGATTTGTCGTAAATAAGACTGGATATCATTAAGGCGAAATGAGGGTCATAGAATTTCAAGCCCACACAATCTCTGCAATGATTCGTGTTTATTCCAAACTTCGTTTTGCCTCAACTTTAACAAAAAATTATTTTTTTTTAAAGAAACTTTTTTCCACAAAATAATGTCACACGACCAAATTAAATACCCTAAGGTTGAGAACTCTGCAAAGATTCTTTTTTGAAAGCATTTTACTGAGTTATTGCTCTTTGATTTCAGCGTTTACATTGGCTCGTCTAATTAACCGTAAGTATCATTAATTTATTTTTATTTCTGCCGGAATAGTTGGGCTTTTGTTGTTGTTGTTTTGTTTGTTTTTTTGCTTCTAATTGTTGGGCAGTACGAAGATCTGATATAAATAATGAACTTGTGTAGCATAAATGAGTTGAATCATTCGAAGCCGACAGTCAAAAAAAAAAAAGTGGGAGAAAAAAAATGTCATAGTTTGTAAATAGTCTCTAACAGAAGAGACAAACGCTAGGATAAATAGTCTCTAACAGAAGAGACAAACGCTAGGATAAATAGTCTCTAACAGAAGAGACAAACGCTAGGATAAATAGTCTCTAACAGAAGAGACAAACGCTAGGATAAATAGTCTCTAAAGAAGAGACAAACGCTAGGATAAATAGTCTCTAACAGAAGAGACAAACGCTAGGATAAATAGTCTCTAACAGAAGAGACAAACGCTAGGATAAATAGTCTCTAACAGAAGAGACAAACGCTAGGATTTTTAAAAAAAACCAAAAAAAAAACCACAAGATTCAGCTTAACTAAACTCTACACACATTACGGTCTACTATCTCTTGAAGTGACCACACGCACGCACGCACACACACACACTAGCACTGTAAAACACACGCCACACACTCGCTGAAACGCACACTCTCACACACACACTCCCACAAACACTCTCAAATGGCTTTAGAGACTATTAGACTATTACATTCCGCCCCCCCCCCCCATTTCTAAAAATAATTTTCCCTTGGGTGGAAAATCTTCCGGTTATAAATCTACTATAAAGGGCTTTATCTTTAAAGGTAAACATGCACACTGGTCTGTCGTGCCGTTGAAAGAGTTTAAACTACAATAAGATTTTTAATACGTAAACTACGACTCGAGGGGGTTGTTCGATATTTTTTTTTTTAAAGGTAGGTCTAACAATTTTAAAAAAATAATTTTTACCCTTTAAAAAAAAAAAAGTCCCATAAGTCCTCCATCCAGCCCTCAAATACTCATTGCAAGATTTTAGCATTTGCCGATGTTTCATCTCTCTCTCTTCTAATGTGTGTTTCGACAGCCGACAGCAACAGCGCGGATGTGACGCGAGCGACGTCGACGGTGGTGGTTGTGGCGTCAACTTTAGCATTTCTTCTCGGAGCCTTCGTGCATCTTCGTTAAAACCCGTCAACACAGAAATGTTAAGGAAGAGTGTGTGTGTGTGTTGCGCCAGGCGCAGAAAGGACTGAACACATCCTATGCACACATGAGAGAGTGCATTTTATTTATTTACACACACATATTTGAAATATATTTTTTTCAAAATTTCATTCTTAAGTTTGATCATTTATCATCCAATCATTTATCATCCAATCATTTATCATCCAATCACCCATCATCCAATCATCCATCGCCGACATTTAACATTCATTGATTTATATGAGCTTTTTAAAAAAAAATTTTTATCGGAATTTTATATTTATGTTTGCAATTTTGTTTTGTTGTTTACAATAATGATTCACCCATGAACTGTAAGGCAATTCATAAAAGGATAAATGTCTTTAAACACAAACGAGTTATTTTAAGTTTAATGAGTTCACCTCATCTTCTATATTTTGGGGTCCTACGATCAATGTATTGATCATCCTGGCTCCTATTTTGTATATTTAAGAGATACAATGCTAAAAATTATTATGTTACTGATTCTGTTGGTCTACTTTCCACTTAGTGGGCCTAGAAATAAAGACTGCACCAATGCGACACTTTGCAAAGTGTCAGTATAAAGCAGTTGTTCATTCTATTGCTAGATATTCGTCACGCATACGTATCATGGGGGGGGGGGCGTTATTTTTATATCATGTACACATTTTCATTATTATAATTTGTTATTCATGATGTTACATTAAGAAATGGCGTCAGCGGGCCGTCGAGCTTGCGCTCTTTATGCCCTCCCCAAAACACCCCTCCCCGACCCGGTATCGGGCCCTTTGTCAGGACAGCCCCCACCCGAGTCTGCTCCACCAGGTCTCCGCCGGGGGCCGTCCTAACCCAAAGACACCTGGTCGGTCCGACACTGTGTTTGCACACAGTGCACACGATCGACTTTCTCAGGAGTCGGGATGGAAAATGTTACGTCCTAATATCTTCCCCCACCCATCCCGGGGAAGCCTTATTCATGATAAAACCTCGAGTTATGACGTAGCCATGTTAAATTACACCTGACCCCAACTAAAACTGGCCCTTGAATTTACTTGATGGATGATTCATAAATTTATAGAGTCATTTTGATCTCTGGGGGAATATAAACATATTAAAGTTGTAAAAAAAAATATCTTTGAGCTGATAATAAATAATAAATAATATAATTTACTTTTGCTATTAGTTATTTCAATTTAGTATTCTTGATTTAATGCATTTTCAGTAAAATATTTTATTTAAAAAACAAAACGAATACAAAGCCAAGGGTACATGGCGCTATTAGCCGTGTGTTTTATAATTAGCTATTACTACCTCAATCAACGAGTTTTAACTAAAAAAAAATTGAAGACAGAACCCTGCGAGCATGCTAAAATAGCATGGATACAAGCGCTATATAAGTATCAATTCAATCAAGGACGACAATAATTCACTTCTGATATCCAGTTTTATAGTTGTCTCCCTTCAAGTGATGTTTCCTAATCAGAAGTCAATTTATATCACGTGTTACAAGGTTTATGATAATCTTTACTGAAACACAATAAATCGCACTTGAAATGACATGTCAAGTATGGCGACACCGCGCTTGAAATGACATGTCAAGTATGGCGACACCGCGCTTGAAATGACGTGTAATATGTTGGGGTAGCGCACTTGAAATGACTTGTCAAATATGGCGACACCACGCTTGAAATGACGTGTAATATGTTGGGGTAGTGCACTTGAAATGACTTGTCAAATATGGCGACACCACGCTTGAAATGACGTGTAATATGTTGGGGTAGCGCACTTGAAATGACTTGTCAAATATGGCGACACCGCGCTTGAAATGACGTGTAATATGTTGGGGTAGCGCACTTGAAATGACTTGTCAAATATGGCGACACCGCGCTTGAAATGACGTGTAATATGTTGGGGTAGCGCACTTGAAATGACTTGTCAAATATGGCGACACCGCGCTTGAAATGACGTGTAATATGTTGGGGTAGCGCACTTGAAATGACTTGTCAAATTTGGCGACACCGCGCTTGAAATGACGTGTAATATGTTGGGGTAGCGCACTTGAAATGACTTGTCAAATATGGCGACACCACGCTTGAAATGACGTGTAATATGTTGGGATAGCGCAATTGAAATGACGTGTAATATGTTGGGAAAGCGCACTTGAAATGACGTGTAATATGTTGGGATAGCGCACTTGAAATGACGTGTAATATGTTGGGGTAGCGCACTTGAAATGACTTGTTGTTACATGTGGGGGCAGCGATCTTGAAATGGCTCTTAAATTTGGGGACTCACCCTTGACATTGCGCCCATAAAACTGCGGGAGACGAGTAAACCTTGGCGTCCTGTGCATGGGTCAGCCTGTTCGAGAACACACGTTCACCTGTCATTGGTGGTAGTTACTACGGTAACGTGAGATATCATAGTGTGGTACCAGTAACATGCGGCATTGTGGTACCAGTAACATGCGGCATTGTGGTACCAGTAACATGCGGCATTGTGGTACCAGTAACATGCGGCATTGTGGTACCAGTGATATGCGACAATGTTCACCGTGTAGTATGGGACATTACGATTCTTTTTTTTACTACTTCAAACAGTTAGACGTAACTAACATGGCACTTGAAAATAGCATTTATTTTTCTTACATTAAATGAGATCGGTCGTAAAAGACATCACTTATCATTACCATTTTTTTTTTCTAATTCTGTCCAAAAAACAAGGTCGACAATCTCCTTCCCGACTGTGTAGTGTCCCCTGGCGTAGTTGTTGGCAGCGTCCTCCTTGCCGTTGACCATAGGTGCTCGAGGTGAAAGAGTTGGCGATACCTCCCTGTTCGCACCTTATCTGTTGAGGAATAATTTGACACATGGGTCATCTGATAAGAACAATGGGTCTTGTGAGAAGACATAATCCCATTTTATTTAAGTACAACTAATATCTGTACCACACGACAGCCACTCGACATCCACTCGACATCCACTCGACATCCACTCGACATCCACTCGACATCCACTCGACATCCACTCGTAGCAGATATTTTTAGGACATAGACGTAAATACCCGGCCCTTGTAATACGTATTCCTTCAGAAAGTAAGTGACTCGTCGTTATATTCCATAACTATTCTGGTACATTGTGCAGGATGGTAAACATCAATAAACTCACATAGCTAAAGAAAAGACACGTTTTAACAAGACATATCGGCCTACACAAATAGTTCACAATCATGGATGAAAACGTAATTTAAATGTTTCACATTCAGAATAAAATATATTTATGTTTTAATTTTAAACATTGGCCGAGACCAGAGTTCGGAAAATCACGCCCTGCGAGACGCACCTGAGTGCGGCTCGGCCAGTCGGCCACAAATCGGGTTTGACTCCAAAAAAAACAAAAAAAAACATTGTTCTTCACAGGTTCGTGAAAAAGAAAATTGGATCTCGAAAACTTTTGAATCCTCCTGCTGCTGATGTTTGGCTCTTTTGTGTAATGAGCTAGCCAACCACGGCCTAGACCGAAGATAAACAAATGTTAATTGGCAACTAGATTAAACCTTTTATCACAAAGCGGTAGAAATAGCTAAAGCAAATTCTGTTCTTATCACACGTGCAGGTGTTAAATAGGTTGATCCAAACTTTATAATTTTTTTTACCTAATCTATAGCTACTCATAATACAACTGAAATCGTCGGCTACACATCTTCGCGGACAATAAGGTGAATGCAAATAATAATCACAGAGACTTTTAACACAATCCGGTAAGCCAAAAAACACATTTTAAAATTGAAATATCAGTGACTTCATAAGTTTTCTGCTATGCCATTGTAGTCCCAGTGGTATGTGGTCCTAGTGATATGTGACAGTGTGGCCCTAGTGATATGTGACAGTGTGGCCCTAGTGATATATGACAGTGTGGCCCTAGTGATATGTGACAGTGTGGTCCTAGTGATATGTGACGGTGTGTTCCTAGTGATATGTGACAGTGTAATCCTGGTGATATGTGACAGTGTGGTCCTAGTGATATGTGACAGTGTGGTCCCAGTGATATGTGACGGTGTGGTCATAGTGATATGTGACAGTGTGGTCCTAGTGGTATGTGATGATGTGGTCCTAGTGATATGTGACGCTGTGTTCCTAGTGCCATGAGACAGTGTGGTCCTAGTGATATGTCACGGTGTGGCTTTGGTGATATCTCATCACTTCAGGTTAAGTTTCTTTTATTTCTAGGACTATTTTGAGTTTTCTTTAAATTCTCCAAGATTCTGATTTAAAGCAGAAACTATTTCTAAAAGAAATAATCACCATTTAGTTTTAGCCTGACCGAGATAGCTTGTCAAACAAACTGCGACCAGGAACAGAGAATCCATTTTTTAAGAACCGACGCTGCGTTAAATTTGCCGACCTACAAGTGTATATCTGATACCGTCTGTTACCCTCGCCGATGGCAAAACTCCGCCCAGATATAATGCCCCCCCCCCCCAACGACTTTTTAATGACTGCGCCACCAAGAAGACTTGTGGGTCACAGAAGGTAGCATTGAAATGTCACCCTGTCATCGTTCGAACAAACCGTCTGTTCCCCCCCCCGATGGCAAAACCCCGCCCAGAAATAATGCCCCCCCCCCCCAACGACTTTTTAATGACTGCGCCACCAAGAAGACTTGTGGGTCACAGAAGGTAGCATTGAAATGTCACCCTGTCATCGTTCGAACAGCTGGAAAAAATTGTCTGAGATAATTACTAGACACTCCGTTTAGCAATGTGTGTCACAGTTATTTCAACATGAACGACAAATGTATTTACTTACTCAGAGGAACTCAGTTTAAATTATTATACATGTCATTCTTTTAATTGTTAAATACACATTTTTGTCCTCTTTAATTCTAATTCTGCTCATTCATTCATTTCATGTTACTGTTAAAAAGTTAATGGCAAAAAAAAAAAAGTTTCACATAATTCCTTTAAGCAGTTTCGCTTACTTTTTTTTTAAACAAGATAAGTTGCAAATAATTGTTCACGGGCAAAAAAGTGTAAAGCTTTTATTTGTCAGACAAAGGAGATTTTTTAAAAAAAAACGTCTTTATTTTTACAATGACATTCCATTGGTTAGCCATGGGGTGGTTCGTTCTTTTAGTACTTTAACTTTAGGACTTTTGGAGGAAATATGATCTGACATCTAGAAGTAAAATTAATCTTGACACCACTGTTAAGGACTTGAATGTATAGTGTGTTCGCGTGTTGTTTAGAGATTATGTGTGTTGCTTTATCTATTATTCTTAGTCTCTTGTGACTTATTGTGGGAAAAGGGATATGACGTATTATTCTTTTAGAGTGTGATCTTTGAGGAGTACAGTAATGGAAGTTGAAGAATTAGTCCGTTAAAAAGATATTTGATATGAGAATAATGGTTTGTGAAGTGTATGTAATTAAAACCCTAGACAACGAAGCCACGGAACTTTTTAAGTAAGACCCGGTTCGTAACAAAAACCTTCTGACTGCCTCAGATAAGAATTACTTTGAATTATAGATAATAGAACCATGTGTTGAAATGTAAAGATAATTACACTTGTAGCGCTCATTATCATGGTGAGCTATAATTCTCTATTCCACAACTCTGAACTGTGTTTTTTTTTTTTTTAAAGTGATGTTTCAACGACAGGGAGGCATCCCTCCCTCTTATTTCAGCTGAGGTTCGAGATTATGTGAAAGAGTGCCTTTGAGTTTTGAATTATTTTAACCCGCTTTTATTTCTGCCCCTGATATTCTAAAACACTAATTAAATATCAAAGGATACGCCTTGAATTGCGTGTAAAACATTTACTTTAACTAACATCGTTAAAATATATACTTATAAACGGCTTTGTTTGTATTTTACCTTTAATGTAATACTATGTTCAAAAGGAATATAAGTAACGTGTACTGTAAGACAGAGCTGAAGATCCGTACCGGCACATGATGTACCGTAGCAGTAGCTGTGCCGATGTATTTTAGATATGTCATTGCCACGTATACAAATTATCGAAAGACTATCGGCTAATATGTTCTAAAACAAGGGTCATTTATAAATTTTTGTTCTTTTAAACAAAACATTCCAAAAATTTTTTGGTCAAGTTTTTCGTTTCAAGTTAAAGAACCCCCCGATC